CATAGGGGCACAGGTTGTGTTTTCTAGTCTGTGTGATGTTTTGTTACAGTGGCCTTGACATCATAGAATATATTTCATTATCGTATGTTACTATTTAGGTCTATTTTGATCAGCTTCTGTGTAAGTTCTGAACATTCCTAGGTTTGCCATGTCAGCTCAAGCTTGTTTCCTGAAGTTATGAGCAGAGTTTGTTATGATGAACCCTGTTAGTGTGGTAGGGGTTTCTTGTGTTTCAGAGTCTTCATGTGATCTGATGGGTCTTATAGTTTAAACCATTAACACCATCCACAATTTCTGTTTTTGGCATGGTTGCTCTGTGATGGACTGGAGACCTGTCCAGGGTGACCCCCGCATCTCGCTCGGTGACTGCTGGACATGGGCAGCAGTCACCCAAAAAGGAAGAAGCAGGTAAAGATGATGGATGGATGGATTTTTGCATGGAACTAACATTTTGACATTGGTTTGATTTTTCTGGCTTAGGTTTCTTGCTCTAAGCTTAAACCTTATTAAGTGTTGTCCTTCAGCACACACCTTATTCGTATTTATCCCATGTCCCCCAGCTTTTATACCAGTTGGTATTTTTTTCTTTATCTCCCTGTTCATTTTCAGATCCTTTAGTTGATTCCTTTGTTGTTGCTAATCTGATTCAATCAAATATTTTTTTTATTGAATTTCTGCTGCTTTGTTTATTATTCTCAGTTGGATCCTGAGCCAAGGGATGCTGCAGAGGTTAGAGAAGACAAGCCTGGGATTGGGAGGTTGCAGGTTTGGATCAACAACAAAAATTTAGGTGGAAAGATGTAGCACCCAGATCTGCCTCCACACTCATTAGCCCCACTGTGGGCCCTTAACCCTTAACCCCCTTAGCTGCTCCCTAGACCTCTTAGATGGCAGCCCTCTGCTCCACACAGAGGGCTGTGGTAGCTTTTTAGTAGGTGGTTGTGTCAGGAAGGACATCTAGCATTAAAAAATTGCAACGTCTTTGTGTGCATTAGTTCACTGTGGCGACCCCTGAAGAAGGGAGCAGCCAGAAGAAGAAGTAGATAGATGTTAAGAAGAAGAAGTAGTTAGATGTTAAGACGAAGAAGAAGAAGTTGGATGTTGAACTTGTTCTTTCTAAGCATCACATGACAATATAAGACTCAAACTTGCCAAAGTAAGCTAGGAATAGAGGAAGAAACAACAGACATGTTTTATTGCCATCAGGAAAAATGCCTTTCATTAGTACTGTCATAAAGTAATCACTTACATCTACTTTGCTAATCTTTGGTGTCAACATGATTCAAGATGGTTACTACAGCTAAATAATAAAAATAATTTATTCAATTTGTACTGCACTTTACATTTTACAATCTCAAAGTGTTATAATATAAAATATCTGAAGAGAATAAAAATAACATCAGCAAACACAAAAATGGCTACAACCTACTGAGTTTTGCAGACACTGAGCTACACTTTGGTGAAGTAGTACCTATGAGTCGTTCCTGACAGACTCTGGGCACCAACAGATCGCACAATGTTGCTTTCTAAAACTTTAGCATGAACAGTGGAGGGGTAAGATGCAACTTGTCATAGGTTCAATTTACATTTCTCCATTTTTTAAGGAAATACTCACAATTTCTGGTGTATCCTATCATCATATCTAAAATCTCCCTGTAACTGATATTGACTGGGAAAAAAAATAAAAAATTGCCAATCATCAAGCACATAGTTTTCAGACTGGTGTTACAGATTGTCATGTGGTTGTGGTCTTGCTTTGGACCTGCAGCTTCATATTTATCTACTTCTTCACTTTACCTACCACCATAATTCTTGGGCTACAGAACACACTTTTCTCTAAGCTGCACATACTGAATATGTATAAGATAAATCATAGTTTTGTACAAAAAAAAGATGCTCTGGTTGTTAAGCCAAAGGCATCCACCATTCATAGTCTGGATAAGCCCAGCCAGCTCCGGCATTGTGAAACATGCTTGTTGTAGTATAAAAACCAGCCACTAGATGGTGTTTAACAGATTGTAACTCAATTTCTAAACATGTTCAGATTGCATAATCGTCATAAGTCTGATGCTTCGCTGTCTGACTCATGGTTAAAACCACTAAACCTACAAAATGAACACAAGAGCAATCTAAGCATAATCACTGGACAGAACAGTGCCAAACACCTACATAACCGTAATTATAAAAAAATTATATACCAGTAAATATTAGGGGGCCGAGATGGTGTAGAGGCAGGGCAGCCGGATTGGGACCCAAAAGTCCCAGGATCAATCCCCAGTCACTGCATATCACGTGGTGTCTCTGGGCAGCACACCTCATCCCCAAAATGCCCCCCGGGCGCCTTCAATAGCTGCCCACTGCACCACCTGGTGGTGGATGGGTTAAATGCAGAGACTAATTTCGCCATTGTATGGAAACATACAGTGCTGACATTGTGATGACATTATTATTATATTACCCTGAAGTCTTATCAAGGTCATGTGACCAGAAGTCATAGTGCCAGTAAAATATGGTAACTATTCATTAAATTAGTACCATTTATTTTTACTCTTAAACGCGTTTGGTAACAGCTGCTGCTTTTAAATGTAATTTCTAAATAAATTTGACGTGATTTCTATTCAGCAGAGTTCATATGAGCAGGAGGGAGGAAGAAG